TTTTTTTGTAAAATATATATATAAATAAAATCTTCTTAATGTCTGCAAGGTGTTAACATGTAATCTTATTCAATTGGTGGTTCATGATGCAAAAACAACTTTCTACTTTGCATGCACGTGTCTTCTTTTGTCTGTACAAGGTAGTAAGAAATTTGCATTTTTCTCAATGCAGCTTAAGTTATTTTCTGTTGAAACTGCAGGAATAGGTTGGAAGTCTTGGAAGAAGCGATGGTTTATCCTTACACGGACTTCTTTGGTTTTCTTTAAGAATGATCCTGTTAGTATCTATTATCTCTTGGACTTAAATTATGCTTTGAGTTCAATTCCTTTCTGCATCTTTGATTTTTGCTTTAGTTTCTTTGTATTTAATAACATCAGAATTATGTAGCGGGAATAAGTGCACTCACTTAAAAACTTTTTCCACACATACATCCACACTCATTCGTTGGCTGGAAAAGCCGAGGAAGTTAGGATGAGTTATTTTTGTTCCTCTGCAAAATCTATGCTTTAATTGTACTTACGCTTGGTGATTCAAATGAACTCTCATTATTTTTCTTTGGTGATTCAAATGAACTCTCATTATTTTTCTTTATAGAGTGCACTTCCACAAAAAGGTGGTGAAGTAAACCTCACTTTGGGCGGCATTGACTTGAATAACTCTGGAAGGTATGCACGGTCAATGCAGTTCTTTTTAGTAGTAATTTTTGCAATACTGTTAATATGTGCAATTGGTTTCATGTAGTGTTGTTGTTAGAGAAGATAAAAAATTGCTGACCGTGTTATTTCCTGATGGGCGTGATGGCCGAGCTTTCACCCTTAAGGTGATACACTTAACTATCTGATTATTGTTATTGTTTATTTTTTTACAGTCTTTTTAAGTATAGGGGTAAACCTAATAGAGCATAGATGTTTATGTATTATATATGTTCTCTAACTTCTGCCAATTTCAGGCTGAAACATCGGAAGATTTATTTGAATGGAAGACTGCCCTAGAACATGCCCTCGCACAAGCACCAAGTGCTGCCATTGTTATGGGCCACAATGGAATATTTCGGAATGACACGAGTGATACAATGGAAGGGTCTTTCCCTCATCAATGTTTGTACTTGGACCATTATAACTTCTTCAGTGTATCATTTCTGGGTTTTTGATTATTAACTCTGTTGGGTGGCTTTACTCATACTTAATATTGGGTTTTTCCAGGGAAGGATAAGCGCCCTGTCAAGTCTTCAGTTGTTGGAAGGCCAATTTTGCTTGCACTAGAGGATATTGATGGAAGTCCATCTTTCCTTGAGAAAGCTCTACAATTTTTAGAAAATTTTGGTAAGTTATAATCTCGATACTTTCGACAGTAGTTCAAGCTAAATAAAAATAAAAAACATGATATATTTATAAGCCACTAAGGGTTGCAGCTGAACAGTATCCTTCAAAAAGCTATAGATCCAAATCTATATCAATCAAGGGAGATTTATTTGGTTCAATCTCTCTCTCTCTCT